GGCAGCGCCCGGCCGGGCCCGCGGGGCTCCCTGTGACGCCCGGTGCTTTTCGTGGCAGGGAGTGGGAGGAGGAGAACCAGCGGTGGGTGCAGGAGGTGTCCAGCGCGCCCAGCACCCGCCTGGACGTCGTCCGCCTGCAGGAGCAGCTGGACCTGCGGCTGCAGCAGAGGCAGGCACGGGAGACCGGCATCTGCCCCGTGCGCAGGGAGCTCTACTCGCAGTGCTTCGGTCAGTGCCCAAACCAGCAAACGCAAAAGGCTCCTGCCCCCCTGCCTGGCGGGCTGTGGCTCCCACATCCACGTCCCCGCCAACACGCCCCTTGCCAGAAGGTTTAACGCAGCCTCGGTCCCCAGAGGGCAGGGCTGACGGGGGCTGGCAAGGGAGGCTGCGCGGGGCAAGGGTTGCTCTTCCCGCAGCCACGCTGCACTTGCCTTCCCTGTCGGCCCACCGCTCTTCCGCGCCCTGCGGGTCAGGCTGGCGTGACCCTCAACACCCGCCTAAGCTGTCAGCTTTCGCACAGAGCATGTTACAGTGTCTCATTGTTCACAAAGCTGACGCTCAAAAGACATGTTGTAACGGTGTGCTTACACATACATAATAGTAAAAGATGCAAAGAAGCTTAAAATTCTCTTAGTCGTATTTAGCCCAACAGTCAATTTAAAATTACTTAAAACGCTGTATAACTGTTAAGCACTCTTACACACTCCGATGACGTGGTGTTGGTCTTCCAAGTACAAGAGACTGTCGCTGGTTTGAGCACAGTTCTTCTGGAGGCTCTTGACTCTTCTGGAGGCTTCCTGATAACTGCAAAAAATCATTAGAAGTTTTTAGGTGTTTGCTGTTACAGCTTTAGTGGAGCGGTATCACTGTTGTTACCATAGGTTCTGCACCACCACTCTGCTTTTATTTGCTAGCGCTTGATGCTATAGCTGTAATGTAACAGAAAAAAAATAATTGTGACTATCTCTAGTTTGTGGTGCAGAGAGTAGGTAGAAGAAAACAAGCTCTGGACCCTGTGTGTATCCAGCATTCCCAGATAAATGTACAGTAGCTACTCTAACTAGATTGTTGTACCCTTTCTTTAAAGATGAATTGATCCGTGAAACTACAATTAACTGTGCAGAGCGAGGACTGTTGCTGCTTCGAGTCAGGGATGAAATCCAAATGACAATTGCTGCTTATCAGACGTTGTACGAGAGCAGTGTTGCGTTTGGCATGCGGAAGGCACTACAAGCTGAGCAAGACAAATCTGACATGGAAAAAAGAGTAAGTTGGGCTGTTAACCCCATAATGTAGTTTTCTGCACATGATACAGCATAAGGGTATTACATATAAAATTTTACATGACCTCTATTATTTCTATTTCCACTGGATGGCAGTAAAGATCATCAGAATACTTGTCTTACTGTTTTCCTAGGGCTTAATTGCACTTCAGAAATTATCGGCTATTATATCTGGAACACTTTAAATGTACAATGTACAACTTTGTCCCATCTTAACTGAAAATTGATTATTAACAAACAAAACTTGAGAGATCTATTCTCTTTTCCAAGATTGCAGAGCTAGAAGAGGAAAAGCGGGAGTTGGAAAGGCAAGTGAGTGAACAGAAAGATAAATGTGAAGCTATTGAAATACGTGAAAATGAAAGGCGACAGATAGAAGAGAAGAAACACACTGAGGAGGTTCAGTTCCTGAAACGAATGAATCAACAGCTGAAGGTTAGTAAAAAAACCCGCAATTCCAAATAGCAATGGTAAAACTTCTAATTTTGTAATTGGAAAGATGTAGTTTTCTCCTTAATAGTTTTAGAATTGTTACGTTTATGATGGATTTGCATTAATGTTCCACTTTCTTTAAATTCTGAATGAAATGGGAAAGTAGTGCTTTTGCATTCTCTACTTCCTTGCTCAGTCAGTAACTGGTCATTACTAGTAAAACTGGTGATGCAAACAGCAGGTCAGATTAATTGAATTCTAGCCATACACACACTTGCCAGGGATAGATCAGAATTCGCTCAGAAAATGATAAATTGTTATAGTCAGCTGGAGAAGAGCAGATGCATGCAGCTGAACCCCAAAGGCAGAGGCTTCAAACTGGACTGATACCCCAGGAATCTATTTCTGCATAACTTGATTGTAAGGTTATAATAGTTAGTGCCCCTTCTCAACTACAAAATAGAAAATCTAGTGAAGGCAAATTAAGATGTTTTGTTTCTTTTCTGTTGGCCATTACAGTTGACTCCCTGACAACAAGACACATCATTTAACATTAAATATTACCTAATAAGAACAATTGTGTACTTGTGCAGTAGGGACTGCATAATTACAGGAGTAATTTTGTGCATGCTGCTTTCGTGAAAACAGAGCTTCTGCTCGTTGCTTTGCTTTTGAAAGGGAAAAATCCCACATCTCTTGAGTAAACAAAAACCGTTACCATAAACAACGTTAAATGTTTCTGGCTACAGCTAAAAACATTCCCTTTACACCGAGCTGCTTTCCTTATCTGCACTGTTCCTAGTTTCTCCTTTCTAAACCATTAACATCTTCCGGCCGTCTCAAAATGTTTTAGGGCACAAAATGGAGTAACTGTTACATCAAATACGTGTTGCCACTGAATCCATGTTTCTTCCTTGAAGTACCAGTATTCTAACAGCTGTGTAGATACCACTGTTGTAGCTCATTCTGATGGCAGCTCTAGGAAGAGGACAACGTAAGAGTCCTGGAAGCTTCATGCACTACATGCTCCCTAAGCATGGGTAGCTCTCCAATCAATCTACTAATTGGGCGTCAAGTTGTCTCAGGAACTGAAAAACTTGCTGTTCCCAGCTACTTTTGTCCCAGAGTCAGAGTTTGTGTTCCAAATGCTAGAGAGCCAAATATTTAATTTAGCTAACGCAGTCCAGCCTGAAATCAGACAATTCAGACCACTGTTTCAACAGCTTTTATTTAATTTCCTCTTCAATGCTTTACGTTATAAAATGAGTCTTTCATTGTATGGAACCAAGGCCAGCTCTTTTCTTCTCAGAATGCAACAAGTGTGCATGCCAAGAATGAAAAGCTAATTTATAAAACATGTAGTAAGGAATGGAATAGCTAGGGAAAAAAACCCTGGCCTGCTGCTCTTGAAGTATTGCAGCATCCCTCAGCTCCTCGCTTAACAGACAATTTATCACTTTACAGCAATGCGGGTTTATTTTTTAGGTTGTATCTAATTTGACTTACTGTCTTATTTGTTTTTCAGGCCCAACTTGAAAACATCATTGCACCAAATAAGTAGATTTTTTTGTTGTCCTCCAGGCAGTGCTCAGTAGAGCTGTCAGAGCAAGAAGCTTGCAATTAGTGACAAAGATTTGTCTTTGTAAAACAACGCTGAATTTTCACTTACCGGTAACTGAAGGCAGTGTAATTGTATTATTTCTTTCTTTTTCTCCTGAAGAGTTGAAATTCAAGAGCTTCATTGATTACTGCACCTTCTTTCAATGCTGTCTCAGCATTCAGCTCCTTAAATAGTGAACCTGTCTGGGACTTGCCTGTTGGTAATATGCTAGATGACCTTCAAAAGCAATAAACTAATAAACATTTTTATACGCACCTCTGTAATATTATTACTTTGAAAATGTTGTAGAAAATTCAGAAACAATATACAAGGTGTCTACAATGAATGTAAGTCACATTCACTAAGAATCAAGTGGCAGGTAGTTCTTGGACAGGTGCTTGGAGGCTATTTCCTTGAGTACGTGCAAGTTGGTGTTAATTGTACATCAGAATCCCTTGTCAGGACCGTTAGAAGTAACCTAGGATGAGCAATACCAAAGCTCTCTACATGGTTATTTCTAATGAAACAAAGGGGTATGACGCCATTCCAAGCATCACTTCTCAGTGGAAGCAAATGAAATCTTCACTGAGGCACCTGTGTAACTAGCTGCTTACACATAGCAAGCAGACATGGGAAAGAGAGTTCGCTGTAGTCATATGAAAAACAAAAAACAACCACCCAAAACACCACCACCGGGTAACACCTCAGGATATGTTTTGCCGATGCAGTGTTTACTGGCCTTAGATGGTGATGTGGAAATACCACGATCTCCAACTGCATAAAGAACTTTCAGATGATGCAGAAACAAAGAGTGAGATGCTACTCCAGGGAACAAGACAGACAAGTCCAACTAGGCTTTGAATGGGAACTGCAAGTTTTGTATTAAAAAAAGCCACTGCATACTAGAGCTGTTTTATGTAAAATTTAATAGAATAAGCAGTTATTGCTTATGTTTGTATTTTTTGTGCTTTGATCCTTGTCCCTCCAAGCCGTTTTTTTTCTTGTTCTTATTCTTATTTTTCACATTGTGAGTTTCATAATACCGGACTCCAACTTTCTTGGACCGCTGCTGCCTCTCAGCTCGTCTTCTCTGTAAATACACACAAAACGCATTAGAAAACAGTATCCATAGCCTGAATTTGTTTGCATTCTTTCAAATGTTGTTCACTTATTCCACATGCCTTAAGTAAAATAAATCATTTCCAACAAAACATTACTGATGTGAATATATGGACATCTATATGGAATCCACCCACCCGTGCTCTTAAAATGTTACAAAGGAAGACAGGCTTTAATCTTTACAAAAGTAGCAAACAAGACACAAGAAGCAACCTGATGTGCATAGTCACGTAAGAGATCTTCAACAGAAGATGTGACGGAACATTCATGAACAGAATTCAGTCTGACAGTCCTAGCAGTCCACAGCAATGCTCCAAAAAGCCCCTGCTGTACAAGTTTGCTTACGAATCACTTTCAAAGTCCTACAGACAATTTCACTTGGTATTTAAGTTATTCCAGAAGAATTGTTTAGACTTGACTAACATGAACAGGAAATGGCAGCAGCAGCAGCTCTCTTTGAAGACAGAATAGTACTGCCCATCTAGTTCCAAATTCTCCCTTCTCCCAGCATTTAGACCCCTGCTCTCTTAACGGCATCAGTGGGCAAGTGGACACTGAAAGCCAGTTATCCACAAAGGATTCTCCCCTTAACACTGTCTGGTTACCTGTTGGACCCTTTTATGGGTCCATGCTCGGCTGGAACATGCCACTGTCACATCTCACATCAGCAGCAAGTCACACCCTGTCTCCACATTCCCCCTTCCTCAGCTACAGTCCCTGCGCTCTCTCCCTCCTACTAGTGCCTAGTCTTAAAGCTCTTAAGTGATAATGGGCAATCTATGTATAAAAAAAGCCAGCTCTATTACTCTGCTCGTTTGTTTTACGACAAGAAATCACACTTACTTCTTTGGATGTAAGTTTCTTGCAAGGCTGTTTACCCAAATGGTCATCATCGTCATCATCTTCCTCTTCTGCTTTCCTTTTTCTTTTCTTCTCTGCGCTGCCTGCAAACAGCAGAGATCACGTACTTGGGCATCTTCCAAAACACCCATCTGTTTGCATAACTTAAGGCTGGGGTCACCATCCCATCTACTTCAGCAAAGCATTCCTTTGGTCACATTTTAATAGCTTCTACCAACACAACATGCGTGTTCCTTACCAAAGAATCACTCACTATTACTATCAAAACTGCTGTTGAGAAGCAGATTGCTTAAAGCCCCATGCAAGTCCAGAAGAATTTCATAGTCTTGTCAGAATAGGGTTCTCCCACAGGATTTTGCCTTTAATCAAACTTACTATGGAAACTGAAGCCACAGACTCTTGAAGTCACCACAGTAAAACCTATAGCCTGAAGTAGCTCTGTGCTTTCATAATGTCATAAAACCCTTCCAACGGAACGGAAGTTGCTCAGACTGCAATCTGCCCACAGCACCATTCTTTTGGAAATACAACATTTGTCTTCACTTCACTAATGGAGAGACATCTTACTAGACAGTTGTTCTACAGAAAGGCTACAGCAAGGTCATCAGGCAGCCCTTAGGTTAGCTATGGAAATATTTAAATAGCTTCAGGGGAAAAAGAACTTGCAATCGGGAGCTAATGAACCCTTCTCCCCCTAACTCCCTCTCTTCTCTTGCTTATGGGATTTCCAAACGTAGATTAAGAACATCTACTAATCTTGTTTTACCTCTGTCTTCAGTTTCTTTGGGTTCTTCAGACTTCTGGATGGATTTTGCAAACACTTTTTCACTCAGCTGCTTAGGGATTCTACAAAAGATAAAATAAGCAATAAAAGAATGTCATAACATAAAATGTAACCATCTCCGAGACGTGATCAGTCTCCAATAGATCCCAGTAGCCCACCAGCAGCAAAGCCACAGCCTTTGCACCTAAAAAACATATCACAGTAATCTTGTCTCTGGAGTTACTAGGCTTGTGCGCAGCACAAAAGAACAAAAATATAACACTTAACCTTGAAATCTTAGTCCTCACAAAGCTGGTGGATGAGCTTTGCTAAAACTGGGCCTGCTGTATGAGCTAGGGTACTCTTGTACATGCATGGAGACCCAGCTGGCATATCCAGATGGGACATTAGCCTTGGTATTGCTCAAGAAAGAGCCCAACGTCAAGGAGAGATGTAATATTGCTACTCAGAATAGCAACAGATTTTGAATCCATAGCTTAAGAGGCAGTTTTCCAAAAGTGAGAAAGTTTTTAGTTATGCTAGTAAATAGTACTTTTTCGAATAATCTTTCAAAACCAAACTGCTGCTTAGCCAAAGTTCAAATATTTATGGCTAAACCAGGTAAGCTGTGGCAACTTGTGTCTGGCAATACAGAGGAACCAGTCAAGCAAGTCATGAATGGAGTGAAACTACAGCAGAAGCACATTAACCCTTCCCCCCCCACACCCCACAAAACATTTGAGTCACTGAACAGATTCAGATACCTTATTGCTGAGAATCTCTTGGCTTTGGCTTTATCCAAAAATTTTTTATATTTTGCAATCTTCTCCTCCAAAGCCTTAAGAACTGCCTTAGAGCTCTCCCTGGCACCCGGTACAGCCAACTGAGATTCTGCCTCTACTGAATCTTGATGTTGCTCATTTTCCTCTTTCTCCTCTTCCTGCTCCTCCTCTCCAGAAGAATCACTGTCTGTTTCATCAAAGCCTGGCACATCTACAGGAACCAGGTCTTCTTCTGAGAACTGAGGTGCTACATTAATCCTCCCAAAGTTCTGCCGAACATGCGACATGAGTTGCTTAACTTCAGTGCCTGTATTATTCTTCTCTTCTGCTGGCTCCACACTTGATGCTACCGACTCAGAGATTTTCTCCTCATTATTATTTTGGCTTGATGTCATAGCTACTTCCAACACAGGAGGCTACAAGAAAGAGTGTCATGGATATATTATCTACAAAGTCTGTCCCATCATCCCTGAGAGCAATTTCCATTTTATCTCTTTGGAAAAAGCCTAAGTTAGCCACAGGCTAATGATGTGATAATTACTGACATTTCTGGTAGTCAGATGATGGTAAAACGGCTCAGACATGTTTATGAAGAGCATTGCTACCTGGTCCTCACCAAATTCAAGTGAGCGTCACCTGAATCACCACACTTGGGCAGAGCCCAAGATGTGCACTGCCCAAATTACATGGCACTCTGGGAAAAACAACACTGACTACCATTAGGAAAACTGAATAGTATGTGGGAAGAAGAGGCACAAGCATCACATTCTCACCTGAGGACCCGGTTCTGCATTCGGCGGCTTCACAAAGAATGGAATTCTGCCTCTCTGCCAGTCATTGAGAACCATCTTGCTCACAGTTTGCATGTCAGGCTCACCACCCTGAAAGAACCCAGTAACAATTTATGTCCACGTTTGCAGGGCATACCACCTTTCTATTACCTGTAGAGCAACAAAGACATTCATATTTCCCATGTTCAGTAACAGACCACGTGCTCTTCCAGCCTGCAAATGCATAAAGTTGTCACACCTTTAGCAGTTTTCCAGTCCTAGAAGCAAGTTTCTCAAGGAAGTCTTCTGTATCCTTCCAGGAATCAATTTTGTACGTCTTTCTGATGTACTCTGGTTTGGCTCTTTCCAGCACAGCGCTAATATGATCTTCAGGGCTCTTAATCTTTTCAACTTGAACCTGAAAACAAATGGTAGAATATCAACCCTTTGGAAAGCATGCATTCATTTCTTTGAACCCATCATGTTAACAGCAGCAAAGGTTTTCCAGCATTTAGTGCAGATACATACCACTCCCTTCAGCACAATGTCTGTTTCTGTGTCTCCAGATGGATAAACTACACCTGGGCAGTCGATGAGAAAAATCCGCCGCATCAAGGTAATGTACTGCCACACCTGGAAGAGAGGAGTAGTTCCCCATGTTACCTCCTTCCACAGACAGCCCTCTGTTCTGCTTTTTAAATGCACAGTTCTAATACACAGGAGTCGTCTTAGGAACTTGGTATTAACACACAGAAACAGAATATAACTTGGCATTTTTGTTAGCTAGCCAAGACCTATTGCACCTTGCTCCTTCTGTATCAGCCCATGCTATCCCTAAGGTTTTGCATCAAACTACTAACTCACAGAACCAAGGTGAGGAAACTACAATCACGACAAACTCCGATATTCTGTGGTTTTCCTCTTCCATGGTCCTTAACTTCAGTGATATTTAG